ATGCAAGTAAGGGTTGGGTATAATATGTGTTGGTTATGAAATATTTGATGAAAAGTAACTTGAACTCTCTCTTGTATGTTTTTGAAATCAAGGGGTTGAATAGTAAAATTGTGATTTATAAATGTTTAATGAGATGTGGTGCATTATATGAGTTAGTTTTAATGTTTTACATGTGCTCTAATTGGTGTCAATGGCTATTGGTTTCTAGTGACTGAGTTGGATACTTAGTTTTGAGGAAAAATGTTTAAAAAGTGTAAGTTTTGAAAAAAGTGTCCAAATTTTAATTGTATAATAATTTGTTTATGAAACCAAAGCTATTAGGTAGAGCTTAGAAAGAGCTTTTCGTAAACACCTAATTCGCATCAATCGAACGTCGGACGGAGGATTAGGACATGTCAAAAGTTGCCCTAGAAGCTGTCAAATTGATAGTAGAATTTACTATTAAAGATCCTACAAATGCGCTGCAGCGCAAGGTGTCATGAGCCACGGCACATGACACAAAGGCAAACATGCCACGGTGCATGTTCAACGAGCTATGGCGTACACCTCAAAATTTTACAAAATTATTTTATTTTTAAATGTTCTTACAAATGCACTCATCTTTAAAATGATCACATGCTTTCACATAATTGTGAACTTTTATTTATCTATTCTAAGGATTTTGAAAATGGTTTTAGTTTTGTAAACTTGAAATCCTAACTTTTTCACCCATTTGTAATTTGGTATTATGTTAATTATCTTAATCCAATCTCTTTATTATTTGAGATTTGGAGTTAATCATAGCTTAGAAGGAGGAGGATATTACACAATGTGGCCCAATACACCTCCAAGCTTTAGCTAAAGCCTGTCAAGCAATGCAATAGGCCCATTAGCCATCTCTAACCATCCTTAACTCTATTTTAATATAAATTTATATAATTACCCACAATTAGCTTATGTATTCCAAAATCACAATTTGGAATGTTACAGCTTGCCTTTCTTTCTCTACATAATCCTAAAGATCATCCTACAATCCTAAAGATTAAAATCTTTTTTTCTACCAAGTTTTTCATAAGAAACTTCTTACTAACTCAGAGCTAAAGAGGTATTTCCTCTAGTGAAGGTTGCCTTTTTGGGTGTCCCAATGAGGAGTCTATTTTACATATTCTTAGAGATTGTGAGGTAGTTAAACATGTGGTCTTTTGTCACTAACGCATTAGATATCAATCCTCTTTTTCTTCTTACTTGCAGGTGTGGATTAAATCCAATGTGCAGAGTAATCTTGGTGTAAGATCCAATAGCAACCCAATGCAATTAAAAACTTTCTGCATAGTTTATTAGTTACTATAGAAGAACAGGTGTAAAGGAGTTATTGAAGGGACGAGATATAGAACACTTGATTTGTATCATAGCACAATGAATCAACTTTCAAGAGGTGATGGAGAACAGACAACTTAAACACAAGATGCTTTGCATTGTTAAGAAGATAGAGAATAGATGGATACCACTAGTATTGGGATACTTGAGAATAGACGTGGATGGATCAATTAACCAACAGGGACACACTATATGTGGAGGGGTCATCGGAGGTGAACATGGTAATTAGATAACGGGTTTTTAGAAGAGATTAGATTACTCCTCTCCTACTACTGCTGAATTGTTTGCACTTATTTCAGGCTTGATACAATGTAAACAATTTCAAATAGATAGAATTCAATGTCATGTTGACTTATAAAAGCATTCCATTTACTTTAGACTGGGGGTAGATGGGCTCATCCTCTATGGCTAGACATTATAGATGCCTAGAACTTGTTGCATTCCAACTGGGATGTAGAGGTTTCTTACTCTACTAATGAGACTATTCAAGTGGTCAACTTCTTGGCAAGTGACACTTAGCATAAGGCTGATGATTTATACATTTCGAAGGAACTTGTTTAGTTGTTTAGCCTTTTATTAGGTGTATAAAACTGGTGTAACTTATTAGTTTTATTCTCTTTTTAGGCTTTTGCCTATCATTTGTATGTTAAAAAATGAGCTACCCGAGCTCTTTTTTCATAGTCAAGTTTCAAAATCTAATTTCCTCACAAGATGTCATTTTTAAACTCGATCCTTATAAAAATAATTCTAAATGGATGACCATTTAGACCTGACCTTTATTCTCAGCTTTACTTATAGGGTTGTAATTAATTTGATTCATTGTTCGAAATACTTCATTCGGTTATATATATAAGTCACCTTAAAAAAAAAATGATCTCTTTATAACTCACCTTATATAAAAAACGTAGGTTATTAATTATTTTCTTTCAATTCAACTCTTTTACAATCTTCCATGAGCATAGGTAGTAAACATTTATAGAAAAAAGTATTTTTAAAGATGATACATTCAATATGAGCAAATTAAAAAAAAAAAGACAATATCAATAATTAAGCCACCAATCTTTAATATGGTAACGTAGTAGAGGAGCATTGGTTTAGACTTTAGATTACCCTGTAGCTGTAGTAAATGTTTATATACATGCATCGTCTAAATCAGAAACTTCAACGAAACAAAGTAGTGTCGTTTCTCTACATTTATATTATAGTGTGCACTTGAAAAGTAACAAGTAGTGTTTTTGACCCATCTGTAAAAGAAATAGCTAAGATAATTTCACATTTTATCCTTTTACAACGCATGAAAAAATATGCGCGCGCCCACCCGTCCTGTCTTGCTAACACCGCTGTGTGTGAGTGCGTCAAGTTTCTGTCTCCATGATCCGATTAGAGTGGAGCGTAATGGGCTTCATGGGCTGAACATGACTTTTTTGCCATAATGGGCTGAACATGACTTAAGGAGGTTTTAGTTTTAGTTCTTTTTTGTCGCTAACAACTAATAAGGCAATTCTATTTAAAGAAGATTGGGGGCACATTTTCTAGTGTAATTTAAAACATTTATTTGCCATATAATAAAGATTTAACTTCAATCACTAAACTCAATCCTGTTAATATGATATTCTAGTTAATTAGATGGGTTTAAACCTTAAACAGATAACTTTGAAATTTTTAATTATTAATGGTATGAAAACTTGTGTCCTCGGATTGCACAAGTTGGTGACGATTTAAATTCTACTTGTCCAAAAGAAAAATTTGAATTCCCCAATTGGAAAGCAAGTCTCATTTTTTTTTGTGTTGAGACAATTAATTTCTTTAAGTTAAGAACTTTGATGAAAGGGTTACGTTGAAACCCATTCTATTAGATGGTACACTTCAGTTTTCTCTGGTCAATTAGTCAAATATGGCTTTTTTGTTTCCACAATCTTCGCTGGGGAAGGTCACATCTCTCATTTTCCAATTCTCTTGTTTTTGCCGTCAAATTTAATTAGTACTCGAAGTAAAATAAACTACAGCAAAAATATAATCAACATAACTCGACGAATTTAATATGATATATTTCAATTTCTAAATGTCGTAATAAAAAGTTTTAATAATGTTATATTATTAAAATTTTTATATTTTAAATTAAAATTTTAAATACAATTAAAATTTCAGGTAAGCAATTCTCATTGTTGCCATTTTAAAAAAAATTAATTTTTTAATCCTTTAACTAACTCAATGTTTTAACTATGACTCATTATGATTTAATCTCTTAATTATGATTCGTTACGATTTAGTCTTTTAACTTTTGACTCACTTATAATATGATCTTTATTTTTCAAAATTTTTTTAAAAATTATCCTTAACAAATAAGAGGGATAAAAAATGCTTATATAATATTTTAAGATCCTCTTGTTGCTCTTTAATGTGAGATTTAAACTAATATAAAAAAAAATCAACAAAAGTTGCGAAAAGTTGCGAGACTAAATTATAAGTAAGTAAAAAATTAAGAGATTGAGTTATAAATGAATCATAATTGAGAGATTAAATTATAAGTAAGTTAAAAATTAAAAGATTAAAAGGTTAATTTTTTTTAATTTAATCATATAATTAAATACAATACACGGCAGATGTGACAGCACTCCTCCAAAGTCCAATCAATATCATGAGTAATTAAAAAGCTATTGCACCGCATGTAACACTTGCCTATTTATAGCCTAAGTGGCATGGAGCCTCACATACGTTAATAATTAAAATATAAAAAATAATAATAAAATTCATCTAAAATATATAAATAATAATTTAATCTCTTAAAATATTATAATTTTTTTAAAAATTTTAAAGACTTTTCTGTAATTAATAAATTTATATAAATTACTAAATTATTCTTGTTGAAAATAAATGATTCACAACTTTTTTTATTATATTCACGACTTTTTTTTTATATTTGTAACAATGCAATGACAAATAAAAAATTAACATGCAAAGTTATAATTTACTGTTGTATTATTATGAATATAAGAAAAAAAATTGTGAATATAAGAAAGAAAGTTGTAAATCATTTATTTTTAATAAGGATAATTTGATTATTTATATAAATTTATTAATGATAGAAAAGTTTTTAAAAATTTAAAAAATTATAACATTTTAAGGGATCAAATTATTAGTTACATATTTCAGAGAAATTTTATTGTCAATTTTTCATTAAAATAAGCATCACAATATTGGAATTTGTCTCAAGTATTATATTCCCTAGTTGTGTTCTGAAAAGAGAAATGGTTTCTTCTTCTTCATTATTACAATAAAAGCATATGCCCTGGTCCCATTGACAATGCAAATTAATAAGCAAGAAGACATCGTCTACATATAATATAATATCATTAGAAATTAATGTATAAATTAATAATCAAGTGTTCTTAATTTAATTTTTTTATCAACAATGGCGTGAAAAATGCTGTGCCATTTTAATTTAAATATTATAAACGTGCCTAGATAGATAAAATATGAAGGAATGAAACTCAATATCATGCATGCCGATAGCCGATCTATACTAAATGTGTTAAATCATTTGATAAATCGACGGGAATCATGCATGTTTAATGATAATGACTAATGGGGGAAAAAAAAAGTCACAATCAGAAATTTCAAAAATCAAAATCAAAACAAAAGCATAAAAGATCTAGGCCATGAAATTGATCCAAACAAACTTCAAGTTCGTTTAAAAACCTAACACAGAAGATCAGTTTGATAATTTGTAGACACAATCATAAAATAAAGTACAAGCTGAAGTATATTATATATGCAGCATCAAGCACTAATCATTTGGCGCTGTTTGAGGCGAAATTGAAGAATGCCATCCCAATGATTTTGCGGCTCAATTCCAACAATGAGCAGAACCAGACCAATAAAACCAGAGAACTTACATGAAACAGCTTGAGAACTAAACGCTCACCTTTTCTGACCATCTATTTGGGTCCCAAACAGAGTCCTTTGTTGGGTGAACCTGAAAGGCTGATTCCTTCTCAGAATAACCTTTTCACCTTCCTTGCGGTTAGAAACAAACAGGTCCGAGACTATGAGAGAGAACCATATCACTATCGGTGTAAGAAGGAAAATGAGGCCAAATGGCACCATCCAAAGCTCCCTATTGTCTGGATGATATTTGTGGAGCCACCACCCAAGCACAGAGCCTCCTGCAACACTAATCAAAACCGAGAGCAAGAAGAGGATTATCACTGAGCCCGGCTTCAACGTCCTCTGGTTTTCACTGTAATCTTCATTCTCCTCACCTCTATAACTGGATTCCATCTAATTGCAGGCCTACAGTACTGATAGAACCTGTCCTGAAATTGGGAAACAAACAAACCTCATGTTCTCTCTCACTTCAAGACAGGTTCACACCACACATACGCTTCACGTGGGAAAGAAAACAAAGCAACTTACCTGCAAGTATGGTGGCTGCGGAAATTTTATCAAACAGGCGGTGGGTGATGAGAAGTGTGGAAGAAAAAGAAGGAAGGAAGAGAAAAGCATGAGCTTATGAAGATGGGAAGAGGGCCAGGAGGTTTTCGTGTGTGCAGGTCATGTACAAGGAAGTTTTTATTGAGGAATAGACATATATGGCGTGCCTTTTGATCAAAGTTGTTATTTGAGAGAGGCTTTTTGACACACAACGTTTTGGGTGGGAGTTATCTGGGGTACGTGGTAATTAGGATTTAAGTATTGTCTATGTGGGAGTCAAGGAGTCAATTTTGACAACTAGTTTGTTGGTATAACGTGGTGGCCAGCTTTTCGGCTCCTCTAATTAGAATTTTGAGGGGAAAATAACGGAAGACAAATTTCGAAAACAAAAAACTTCAGAAGAATTGAAAACCCAAAATTTTCCCTCTCGCACCAACTCAACTTTTTTTTTTTTTTTAATGTGAAGCTAAAGTTCATTAACGGACATGTTTAGAGTGCCAGCCCCCAGAACAAATATTAGCTTATGTAAATTAGGCAATTTTATCATATAATAGTATTACTCTTTAAATCTCATGTTTTACTTCTTCCAATCCTCCATATAGGCCACATTCTAAAATGAATTAATAGTCATTTCTATAAGTCATTTTACATAAAAAGATAAACTATTAATTGATTTCTTCCAATTATGTCCTTTTGAATTTTTTATGTGGAGAGTAAAAGTTTACATATGAGAAAGAATGTGATTTTAAAGATAATATGTTTAATAAAAATAAATTTGATATATATATATATATGGAATAATATAATTTTTGGTCCTTATAATTTTATTGTGTTTTGCTTTTAATTTTTATAATTTTTTCAGTGTTTTCAATTCTTGTAAAAACTAAAAACATTGAAAAACAAAAATTATAGAGACTTGAAAAATAAAGGTTATCCAATTTCTTTAAAATTATAGGGACTGAAAATATGGGAAAAAAACAACAAGATTAAAAACAAAACCTGATGAAACTATAAAAATTAATGATTGTGTTTTCTCCATACATATTAGACAATAACAATGATTTAAGTACTCCTTCGTGATTTCAATAAAATAATTAAAAATAATTTGTATATAGAAACAGAGGGAGCATGGTTCAAGAGACCAGTTAATGATGGTACAAACAGAATTGGCGCTCTAATATTGGATTAGATTGTGGTTAGCCAGGTGTGCGTAGAGGAGAGATCGATGTACTATCTAATGAATAAAAGGAAGATTAATCGAGAATATGATTGAGGCAGAACACGAAGGTAGAACTTGGAAAGCGCACTCACAAATCTCTTAGTTTTGCTTCCTTCGTGAACAAATCATCACGCATGTCTCTCTACCAACGCAACCAACACCACCTCTAAATCACCCTTTCATATTAATCCATCCTCTCTCTTTCTCTCTCATCTGTCCTTCAAACAACATGGGCTAGTTTTCATTCGTGCTTTCTGGCAATTGATAATTTATTTATTTAGCCCAAGTTAAGTTGAGATTATGGGCTTCTGGAATTGGGCTAGCCCATCATGACAAAATCGCAATGAATAGCTTCCAGCTCCTTGTGATCTGACATGCCGTGGATATGATTTTGAGTTGGTTAACGACAATAACGGAATCTTCAAGGCATTTATAGGTGATTTAATTGTTTCTTTTATTAAATGCATGCTTTAATATTTAAAAATCACATTAACCATACCTTTGGTTCTTCAATGGTGTGTGATACATGTGTCTTTCAAGTGGAAGATGTTTTACATGTTTTAAGGGATTGTAAGACTGCCCAAAATGTTTGAAAAAGGTTAATTTCTATTGAAAATTAAACTATATTCTACCAATTGAACGAGTACCATTGATTTTATTGGAATCCCAATAGCAAGATACATTATGAGTTTTCTCCTTGGACTACTATTTTTGGGGTTACAATCTAGTCACTTTTAAAGCATCATAATGATCATATTTTCAATAATGCTAACTCTAATTCCATTGAATTAGTTAAAAAGATCACTAGCTTTGCCAACTATGCATAATAGTTTGCCTATGAGTGATTCTTATAGTATACTCCTGACTCAGACATAGGTTAGGTAGGAATGTCCACCTTATGGGTGGGTGAAAATGAACATGGATGGATTAGTGCAAGGGCATCTCGGATGAGCAATGTGTGGGGGCTTGTTTTGAAATGAAGATGGGAATTGGTTGGCTGGTTAGTGGTTTCATGTGTGACCTACGACGTTGCTCTCCCTTAGAAGTTAAGTTGTGGAGCGTTTATCATGGGCTCAAGATTGCAAAGGATTTGAACATGAAGAAACTCATTGTGGAAAGTGATTCGATTTCTATCTACCAACAATTGCAGGACCTCTTAGACACTGGTCAAAATTGGAAGTTGAAACATGGCATTAATTTTCTGATGATGATGCACAGATTTGGTCAAACATGTGTTTAGAGAGGGTAATGTTTGTGTGGATTGGCTTACAAAGAAGAGTGTGAACTGAACAAATGGGATGCATGGTGATAAAGGTTCCTTCTAATAAGATTGTCTCTTTAGTGAATTGAGATTCTTGGTTGATTTCAGTCCCTCATTTTGTGTCCTAGTGACCAATAATGTTTAGGCTTAGCCCCATTTTCTATTAAAAAAAAATCACATTAGCCATCCATGAACATGAGGTAAGTAATGTGTTGATGAGACATAACATTCCTTCAAAAAGATTTCAACTTCAACAATTTATTCTAGCTCAAAAAAAAAATAAAACTTAAATGAACTAGAGTGGATTGTATATATATGATCGGATTAGTTTAGCACTATTGGCTGAACATATTCTCATTATGTAATACATAGACAAAGTAAGAAAATTTGCAATGAATGGGGCTCTTGTACCATCCTTGTCCCTAATATACATAATGTCCTGATGTAAAATAAAGAATATAAATAAATTCTTGAAAAGTATTTTTTTGAAATAATTAAAATGAAGAAGATGTAGGAGTGAATAGTTTCATCATTCAAGCTCTGATCTAATGTAACAACTTTTGGTCTAGGGTTCTCTCCTAATGTTTAGTTGAAGCTGAATTTTCCTTAAGTATCTCCATGATGAAATTTCACCTGTCTGTGCTTGGGAAATCTTAAGAGGTAGGTGGTAAGCTAATAGGAGATGGTGAAGCTAGGTTTTAAGGGTGGATTGCTAATAAGCTATGGCTTGAAATGGAAGGAAAGTTGTAACATCCTTGATTTTAAACCATATTAATTAAGCTCAATTAGATTAATTAAGTATATTAGCAAGATGTGTGGCCAGAGAGACTTAACGGGCGTGTTTGGTTTCAATTTCAACCATAAATGCAAGTTCGAAAGAGAATTGATCACTTGAGAATGAAATCTGAAGAGAAAGTTTTACGCCACACGTCGTGGCTCATGGATCAAGCTGCTGCGGCATAAGCATGCCGACACACCTTGGGAAGCCTTCTCTGTGCCATGCGTGTAACGCATTATGCATCTGCCATGGTGTATGGACACTTTTCTGCTATAATAAGATTAGGAAATTAATGCAACAGAGGAGAGAAACAAAGAGGAGATGAAGAGAAATGAAAAAAGCAATGCTAAGACTTGAATAATTAAAGTTTTAGGAGTGTTTTAGGGCTCTTAAACATTAAAGTAAACTTCCTACACCTAAATCCTTCTTTCTTCTTCCATTTTCTTAGTATTGAAAGTTAGAGTTTGGTTGATAATGATAATTTTTTATCTATATAGGCTATGAATCTGAACCCATTGACTTAAACAGAGTTAATGTGAGTAAATTAAGCTAATAAAACTTGGTATTTATAGAGTTATGATGATTGGTGGTTGAGGAAAATTAAATATCTAAAAAGTTTCAATAAATATGTTAGTTGGGATAATACAGTTCCATTAATGGCTATTAAATAGTACAATGATATTAATTATAGTTAAAGAAAGCTAAGAAATCTTATGGGTATTTTTATATGAGTATAGAATGAATCTTAAGCATGAAGAAGTGTTAAGCTAATAGTGAAAATTAGCTCAACTATGGATATTGATGAATTATATTATAAATGCTTATAGAGCAACCTTATTGACACTATTCAAGCTTCTTGGAAGCTTTGAAAGTGAGTATTTGAGGAGTAAAATCTTTAACCTTTCAAAAGTTTGAGGTAACTAGAGAGATTCTATTTTATGCTCTTGTATGTTAATTAATCTATTGATTGATATTTGACAAGTTAAATATGTGGAAATAAAAGATTTACAAGTGTGGCATAAATCTCTTAAAAATCCACTATAGTGATTGTTGCAAAGTTCAATGACATGTATGCAAAATAATATGAAAAACAATGCTAGTGGAGTCTTATGATGTGATTTCCTTAGAGTTAATGATTTGAGTTGATAGAAGTTCAATGATTTTGCAATTTAAGGAGTTCAATGATTTTAAATGTGTGAGGTACAATGATTTTAAAAAATATAGAGTTCTATGACTTGTTTATTTGGAGTTTAATGAGGATATATGTATAGAGTTCAATAAAATAATTTTTTTTAATGAGAAGTTCAATGATTAGATGATAAGTAGAGTACAATGAGTATGTGAATGGAGTTCTATGATTATGTGTTTGGAAAGTTTAATGATTTTGCTTGAGGTGGAGTTTTACGCATGACTGTGAATATGTAACATGAGAGTATAATGAAATGATTGGGCATATCGAGTAGTGAAAACTTGTATGCCTTGAGCTATGCACATTTATGCATTACATGATCTTGAAAGGCAGGAGTTTGCCTAGCAAGAGGAGTAGAGAATTAAATCCACATGGTACAGCTCCCATTTGAATTTATAGCTTGCCCAAATTGTTTATATACATATTGTCTCACTTGTTCAATGAGAGACTGTCTTACTAGTTCAATGAAGAACTCAAATCTAACTACCTATCCACTAGTTCAAGGAGAAAGCTAGCTTAAAGAGAATGACAACTCATAGTGTGAGAAAATAAGAGAAATCGTGTTTCACAAGTGAGTTGGGTAAGTCTAAACTGGGTAATCTCCTCACAAGTGTTTAAATTAGGGAAGTGTTGGATTATAGACCATCCCATTGTGTTATAGCCCACAGTTTCATGTGAAAAGGAATAAGGAGGATATAAGAGAGGTGTGATCATGCATATAGTGAAAAAAGGCACATAGTTATCTGTATTCTGACCCTAATGATAAAAATCATGAATTTAATCTTTATTTCTTTCGAGTATATGTCAATTGATTGTGTGACAGACTCTCTCCTATATGAAATTATTAAAAAGCATTATTTCACAAGTATGTGCTATTATGCCTGAAGATGTGAATTTATGCTCTTAAACATTTTGCATGGTTTGAAAATTATACTTTTCATTTGCATTTAAATTAATTAACATGCATTAA